CTCATGGGATGGAGAAATGGAGGGAAAAGAATTGTGGTGTGACCATACCCTACGGGCAAGTTCTCTCTCTCTCTCTCTCTCTCTCTCTCTCTCTCTCCCCGTCTTGTGCACACAAACAGTGGCAGTAAAAAAAGGAAAAGAAAGACAAATGTATCAAAGTATGTGACGTTAGGAACCAGCAGTTAGCGTAATGGCTATGTCGCTGGACTCCCATGTAGTTGACCGCGGTTCGCGTCCCAGACCTGGTGGCTTAAAACTCATGCCGGGCGCGTGTGCGTGTGTGCCCAAGATCCCAGGAGGAGAATGGAGGAGAAGGGATTGCAGCGTGACCATCCCCCCTGGGGGGGTGATTTCTCACTATCTGTCTCTATGTCTGTCTGTCTGGAGAGCGCATGCGCCCTATAGCGAAAACCTCTCAAAAAAACCCAAAAAAACAAAAACCAAAACTCACGCAGGGCGCGTGTGCATGTGTGCCCAAGATCCCAAGAGGAGAATGGAGGAGAAGGGATTGCGGCATGACCATCCCCCCTGGGGGGTGATTTCTCGCTTTCTGTCTCTCTGTCTCTCTCTGTCTGGCGAGTGCACGCGCCCTATAGCGAAAACCTCTCCAAAAAAAAAGTATGTGACATCAACAAACACGTTGTAGCCCATGCCTAGTAGAAAGCAAGCAATTAATAATTATGTATTAATGGGACAGATGACAAATTAGAAATGTCCTGGAATCTAATCTAAATTCAAGTGTCAAATGTGGCTGTGAACAATATGATTTATAGAACTAATCATTAAAAAAAAAATGCCAGAAGGGTGAGTGCACTGGCCAGAAAGACAGAGAGAAGAGGCAGATGGAGAGGGAGAAAGCGCTTCTCCCCTGACTTGGGGAGTGGTCAGGAAACAATCCCTTCTCTTCCACTACTCCCTTCTTTTCATATTTTGGGCATAAGGGTTATGTCAGGAGTGTTTTTCGATTTGCCAGGATGGGATTTGAACCACATGCTCTGCCATGTGGGATCAGCTCTCTTAACCACGTAGCCACCAGCTGGCCCTATAAACTCTGTGGTTCAAGTCCTGGACCTGGAAGCTTGAAAAAAACATGCTGAGGGGACCAGCAGTTAGCATAATGGCTATGTCACTGGACTCCCATGTAGTCGACCACGGTTTGAGTCCCGGACCAGGTGACTTAAAAAACTCACGCCAGGCACATGTGCGTGAGTGCCCAAGATCCCAAGAAGAAAATGGAGGAGAAGGGATTGCGGTGTGGCCATCCCCCCTGGGGGGCGATTTCTTGCTTTCTGTCTCTCTGTCTCTCTCTGGCGAGTGCACGCGCCCCTCTCCAAAAAAAAAAAAAAAAACAAAAAAACATGCTGAGTGTGTGAGTGGGAGAGTCCAAAATCTAGAGAGAATGGAGGAGAGGGGAATGTGGTGTGGTCACCTCCCTCCCCAGGTGCTTTCTTATTCTCTTTCTCACTGTATCTCAAGGGAGCATATGCACCCTATGGCAAAAATTATAAGCAAAACAAAAAGAAAAGGTGTCTAGGGGCCAACAGGTGCATGGTGGTTAAGGCACCAGATTTCCATATGGTTGAAAGCAGTTTGACTCCAGGACCTGCTCAGGGTAATCATGCCCCAAATCCCTGGAGAAAAGAGGAGAAGGGATTGCCCGGTGGCCATCCCCTGGGGCGGGGGTGGCTGATTTCTCATCTTCCCTTTGTCTCTCTTCAGCCAGCGCATTCGCAGTGCCCTCAGGTAAAAACCTAAAACACCACAAAAGCTGTCTAAAGTTAAAGCTTATCTTATCCAAATGCCTCAATAGGTCCGTTCAAACCAACTTGAACTCTGTCTCTTATCAAAAGACCTTCAACATTGCCTGAAAAGACTGGTTCTTCTTCATTTTAAATATCTCATTTGATTTAAATCCAATCTTATTACCTGCTTTCTTATTAGGGATTAACCAGAGGTTAACCTTGATGTTGGTAAAAGAACAGTTTAAGTTTAAGAACAGTAAGTGGGAGGAACCATCAGAAAGAAACTTTTTCAAATTTCAGAAAATAAAAGACTATTTTCCAGAAAATAAAGAACTGCAACTGCATGAAAAGTATTCAGTAAAGATCCCATAAACTTCACATTGCAGACGAGTGAGATAGAGAGGTCGCTAAAAGCAGATGAGATTAGGCTGATGGTCATGGCCTGAGAGACTGCAACCCGACAGCTCCTGGTGACGTTGCAGGCCTGCAGACCATAATTCTCAAAGGCATAAACCCTCAATCATCTCGGGTGCCCTTATCCTCCCTCTCAACTTGAATGGTTTGCTCCGACTGTGGTGGTTGTTAGCTTAACGACGAAAGTTCCCAGAAAACCTCTGGTTTGCTAATTCCCCTCATTTTTGGCAACAAAAACTGCATTTCAGAATTGCAGCTCCAGCCTTCACAGGAGGTTGTCCCTGAGACGGCCTCGGGGCGCAAAGGCACGCGTCTACGACCCCAGGCCACCCCGGCTGAAGGTCCGCGTGGGCGGGCAGGCCGCGCTGCGGGGACCCCGGGGATACCCAGCAGCCTGCCCGACTCTAACCCTTTCCAGGAACTCC